GGTGATGATGAAGATCATATGGATGTATATACATGTATTTTACAAACTATAAAGCTCTCTACAAATTATATTAAAAAAAACCCTCTCACTGAATCTGAATTACTAAATTATTTATGTATGTGTACCTAGATGGTGAATCCAGAGGCCTTGATTCACTCTCCTATTCTCCTATGTGAATTACAACATGTTCTACTGGTTTGTTTGGCAATTGACTAGATGAACTCACAACTTTGAGGAAAATAGTTGGATTCAGAAAAGTTTTGATTTTGCTAGAAAAAGATCTCAGAAAGCAAATTTCTAATATGAAATGAAATGATACACAGAGAATTAATTTAGCAGACAGCAACTATCATATGCCAGGCTCTGCGCTTCCCATCATAAATAAGATCTTTCCAAACTTACAGTCTATGTCCTGATTTTTAACACTTCAGGGCCATATTCATTCACATCCTTGTTATAAGGAAATACACATTAAAGTAGAGGTAATGGGGTATCATATCTGCAACTTACTTTCAAACGGTTCAAAAAATATTTTGGTTGCAATTACATTGAAGCTATAAATAAATGTAAGGTAAATGAACATCTTTATAATGTTGAGGCTTCCAATCCATGCACAATCTGTTTTACGATGCTTCGACATAACGATTTTTCAACTTAATGATGGTACTCATGTAACAATTTTGTTTTTCGATTTCAGTAGTGTTCTTATTACATAAGACATGCAACACTTTATTATAAAATAGGCTTTGTGTTAGATGATTTTGCCCAATTGTGGGCTAAAGAAAGTGTTCCGAGCACATTTCTGTTGACTTAAAAGCTGAAGACGAACCCAAATAAAACTCGTTGCTCAGAAACATGGCCAATTAGTCTTTTACTCTATTTTCTGAAAAGTATGCTAATCTTATGTATGCAGAGTAAATTGAGTGTAAAGACATTAGAAAACAGCATTATACATGATACAGTTTAGTTATTACAGGAAGTATTAATAATATTTAAAAGTTCTTTGTATTACAGCTGAGACCAAAAGGAGAGCAAAATCATAACATTTCCTATTAATTTTGTAAATATTTCTATGTTTAAGTATTTCTGGTAAATATATATAACCATTCATTTTTAAATATCCCCTAGTAAATTTAATAAATATTCAATAATTGTTCATTATCAAGAGTTTGTGACTTTGTCTCTTCCTTCTGGCCAGATGATAGGAGCCTAGGATTCCAATGGCCTTCTCAGGACTGGCATCACTGGGGTCAAGGATTCAGTTGGCATGCTCCAGACAGCTGTGGTAGAGGACAGTTTCACCTGGCGTGTTAGGGATCGGTGTGGTCAGGACCAGTGCAGCTCTGACTGGGGATTTACCCAGCATGTTGGGACTTCGTGGGACGAGGCAGCAGCTGGCATTCACCTGGCGTGTTAGGGATCGGTGTGGTCAGGACCAGTGCAGCTCTGACTGGGGATTTACCCGGCATGTTGGGACTTCGTGGGACGAGGCAGCAGCTGGCATTGTCAAGAGGTTGAGGGAGGGAGGGAGGGTGAATAAATAACTTATTTAGTGTTTGGGGGCCAGGTTGCTACGAGAGAAGGGAATTACAAACATGGAAGGGGAAAGACTAGATTAAACCCAAAAGTATTTAATTAGAATCACAGGCATCAATGTGAACTCAAAGTTTTCAATATACATAAGTACGTATAGATGTGTGTATGTCTGCATGCGTGCGTACAAACGTTTTTCTTTGAAAAACCATTAGGGCTTAAAACAAATGACTTCTCAGCATTGAGCTCTACTCAGATCTTGGTTTCCATATATCATCCTCTGTTTAAAGGAACCAGGGCTCCTTGGAAAAATGAGTAACTTTATTTAGACTTGGGGTAGGGCATAGGGAAAAGTACAAGAGGAGCTTGCAACACCTTGATGTGCCAAAAATTAAGGAAGAGCCTCCAAAATAATGAGGACATGTCAAAGGGACATAGATGCCAGTTTGAAGACCCCTACAAACCAAATCTGGGAAAATTTCACCATGAAGATAAATGACAATATTTTGTAACCTACTGAATAAAGTAGGAATCCATGCATCCATTTTGATAAATGGATGAACAAATGGAAAAGGGACAGCTCTTCCTTACAGTAGGATACCAACCAAAGCAGAAGCAACCATGGTCTGACCATGTGGCAACCAAAATAGTAATTGATTCAGGCAAAATTTTTCAATGGACTCCAACTAGTTGCTGACAATTTGCTGAGAAACAGGGCATTTTACAAAGTCTCTAAGAATCTCCTCACAAAGTACTTTTTAATTATTAACTTTACAATAGAGAAACCTGGTAGACACTATCCTAACCAAGTGATCAAAGTTAACATCACCAGGAATGGGACGAATTGACAGTGTTCCTTCTGGCATGATACACTGAGAAGAATATGGTATCATTTCTGTGGCATTTCTGACAAAAATGTATATTCCGAATCTAATCATGAGGAAACATTAGATAAACCCAAACTGAGTGAAGTACAAACTGACTTATACTTCTCAAAAGTGTTAAGGTTGTGAAAGAAAAGACTGAAAAACTGTTCCAGATTGAAGGAGACAAGAGATAGTACAACTAAATGCACCATGTGATCCTGGGTTGGAATGCTGCGATGGAGAGGAATATCACTGTGGCAGTCAGAAAAACTTGAATGCAGTCTGTGGATCAGACATCATTATGCCAGTGTTAATCTCCTGAGTTTGATGGTTGTACTATGGTTATTTATGTAGGAAGCATCCTTGTTATAAGGAAATACACATTAAAGTAGAGGTAATGGGGTATCATATCTGCAACTTACTTTCAAACGGTTCAAAAAATATTTTGGTTGCAATTACATTGAAGCTATAAATAAATGTAAGGTAAATGAACATCTTTATAATGTTGAGGCTTCCAATCCATGCACAATCTGTTTTACGATGCTTCGACATAACGATTTTTCAACTTAATGATGGTACTCATGTAACAATTTTGTTTTTCGATTTCAGTAGTGTTCTTATTACATAAGACATGCAACACTTTATTATAAAATAGGCTTTGTGTTAGATGATTTTGCCCAATTGTGGGCTAAAGAAAGTGTTCCGAGCACATTTAAGGTAGGCTAGGCTAGGCTAGGCTATGATCTTTAGTAGGATGAGTGTATGAAATGCATTTTCGACTAACTATATTTTCAACTTACAGCGGGGTTTATCAGGATGTAACCACATCGTAAGTCAGGAGAATCTGTACATTATAGAGTGCTCCATTTATGTAAGATCACCTTAAATTCCTCTTGATATGGTCTAAAATTTTCTCCATGAAGATCCTGTACGTCTTTTGTCAGGTTTGTTATTAGATATTTCAATTTTTTATGCTATTGTTGAAGAGATCTTTCTAAAAACTTTCATTTCTCTTAGCTGTTAATATACAGGAACACAACTGACTTTTGAATACTGATTGTGAATGTAGTAACTTTGCTAAACTCTATATGTTAACTCAATTATCTGCATATAGTCATATCAACACGTCAAAATAATTTTCTGCCTCTAGGAAAAAACCCAGAGAATTACACTGACTATAGCTAATTAAAAATACACAATGGTTGTCATCTAAAGAGATGTTTATAGTTGTACAAATACTGTAAGCAGCCCAATCATGGCTGGGAATAGTGTAGCCATAGTACCATCTTTAAATTAAATCACCCAAGGAAGGGAGGTGCAGTTCTATTTGCTTGTAAGATCACTAGGCAACAAGTCTCTTGCAGGTATCATATCGTCTTCATCTCTGTATCAAAAGAAATACATTGCCTAAGGTACACTAAAAGTAATTTTAAATGCTCATAAATTCTGGCTCAGTTCTAAGGAAGTAAAACCTACTTACCTAGGGAAGTTATGATCAACCCTTCAGAAACTTGAACACTATGCTTTCCATAAAGCTCTCTCATGGTCTGGCAGCTATGAAAGTACTCCCCACTGCTGCCCGTGCCCTCTGCTCACAGCTCTTTCTATGTGTCATAAACAACTTCCAGATCAATTGCTTCCACCACATTATTGGGGAGCAAGGCACAGTGCATCCTGTGGGTACTCTAGAAACGGCAACCTCTTTTCAGGAAATATTTACCTACTGCCCTCAGGAAACTAGAAAGCATCTACAGGCTGATGGATCTCAGCTGGACAAAATGCTAGGGTGCCCTAAAGGCAGAAAGGACCCAAAAGTAGAACTCTCACTTGTGAGGTTTAAGTGAAGGGAAATAGGCCAGTTTATTACATGATATGTTCTTTGACTGGGTTATTTCCACATATTAAAAAAAACTAAGAGAGATTAAAAGTATAATTTCTACATTTTAGTATAACATGATGAAGTAGTTCTGGAGATGGATAGCTGATCGTGATTGAAGAACAATGTGAATATACTTAAATGCCACTGAACTATAAATACACTTAAAACTGGTTCAAACAGTATATTTTATGTTATGGGTATTTCACCACAATAAAAAAACATTTAATAATCACATAGTCATTAAGAGCACCAACCATCAAAATCTGACAGCCCGGTGTTTGAGATATGACTCTGCCTATTACACCTATGGAACTTAGAAGCGTGTCATTTAACTAAAGCTCAATTTCCTCATCTATAAACTCAGTTTCCCTGCTTACCCACCCATTATAGGTTGCTGAGAACTTGAAAGGAAATAATTTATGTAGGTACTTAGCAAAGTTCCTGGCACACAGAGAGGGCTCAATACATGTTGGCTCTAATTATCTTTTTAGGTTTTCATGGCAGTATGAATTCTTTTATATTTTGTGCAGTGAGAACTAAAAACAAGACTTTAGCACAAAAGGGCTAATTACTCATTTCTCCCAAGTCCATTAAGTCACACAAAACTATAAAACAACTTCCCAAAAAATATATTGCATATTGTAGTCAAAGGATGTATGAGCCCAAATGACTTTAAAGTTTCATCCCTTAAGAAGCAACAGATAAACCATGAGAACTTGAAATAATTTAACAAGTTAATATATATATATTTTTAATCAAATATAACATGGCCATACAAAAGCATTTACTAGAAATATAATTCACATATACAAAAAGAGGCTGTTTTATTTTTTTGTCCCTTTTATATCCAAAATGATGAAACCTAGAAAATAACAGGAATTTACTACTTCTAAAAACTGAGAATTTTATAAATGAAACAGATCTACACCTTCTCTCAAATTCCAAACAATGAGGCATATTGAACTGTACCCTCAGAATCAACTTAAATACATCTTTGCTTGATTCAGATGAAATACACATTTTCAATGATCGACAGTCCAGGTAGAACAAGAATATACAATGATTCATACATCAAAACATTTCATACAAAAGGAATGATTTTAATAAAACCCAGACAATATCAAAAAGAAATGCACTGAATTAAAAAACTTCTGGAACAGGCATTTTTTGGGACCATTTATAAAATACCAAAAAGTTCAGAACTATTGAAAAAAAAAAGTTTATGTAGAACAAAGCCAAGGGGTGAAAACTATCAAATGTATTAAAACTGCCTAAAGCAGAGTAAGATGTAACTGAACTATATAATTTAGAAAGGAACAGGCATTTTTTGGGACCATTTATAAAATACCAAAAAGTTCAGAACTATTGAAAAAAATAAGTTTATGTAGAACAAAGCCAAGGGGTGAAAACTATCAAATGTATTAAAACTGCCTAAAGCAGAGTAAGATGTAACTGAACTATATAATTTAGAAATAGGTTTAAGTGCATTTTCTTTGCACAATTTAATTGACTACCACATGTAAAAACTGGCAATTAATTAATTTGCAGATTTGCGATTTAATTAAATACAGATTTGCAAGCCTTTTGGCAATCATGCACATATTAAAAAGTTAAGTGAATTGCCAACTGAAAAGTAAAAGTTTACATATATACCATTAAAAGCACAAATGGTCAAACATGCCTATAAAATTGTGTGAAAACAACATATTCATACCAAACAAAGATCTTTTAGGCACTTACATTCAGAAACATTCCTTTTATAAATAAGCACTTAGTTTCACACCAAAAAATAAAGCTGATTTTCCCCAACTGCACCTATTAATTGAGAACTATATCATATATTAGGGATATTAGGCATTTTAAATGGACCATTTTATGGGGAAAATCAACTGAATTTTAAAAAATATGAATCTACCCATTTTATTCATAACTTTAAATTTCAGACTTTAAAGACAATTCCAGTGAGGCACAAATGTAGCCCTATCAAAACATTCTGCCATTCGGTATGACCAACAGAGGATAATACACAACAACAAAAAGGAAAATCTATGAATTGGCAATCCTATACAAAGGGGACCCCATCAAACATTCTCGCACAAAACAAACACAATACCATAAAACAAAACAACAATAAAAGAAATTTTTTTCTGAATTCTTACAACTCTATACAAATTGTGGGATTTCATCTTCAAGGTCTTCAAATTGTTGCATTCGTTTTAGCCTTGGTCTCTGACATGCTGGGTTCACATCAGGCAAGCCATGCCCCTCACAGTTCTCCTTAGGCTGACTAATTGGGTGCCCAGGACAAGCTGTTGCAGTGTCCAAGTCGTGAACTGATTTCACCATGTGTCCCTGGGCAGCTGTGCCAGGAGCAGCTGCTCCAGAGGGCGACGCCACTTTCTCTTCACTCCCCCTGACGTTGCTGGTGGGAGCATGTGGTTTATAAAATGTTGTCCAGTGTTGCGGCTGCAGTGTTCTGGGTGCTCTGACAGAAGCGAGAGGGTAGGAATCAGAGGACCGTCTCTCTGTCACCTCTCTTGCTGACCTGATTGGCTCTGTATGTGGCTTACTGGGCTCAGTGGCACTGAGGGAATGGTCCCCACTGATCCTGATGCTCGTCGTCACTCCTTTTCCCTGGAGTGCACTGGGTACAATCATTGCAGTCTTGGCAGTAATGTTGTTTTGTTCATACTGTTTGTCCTGAGTTTTTTCTGAAGTTTGCTGGTCAAAGCCATTGAATTTGGAACAAACAGTGGTGGGGGTGTCTTTTCTATTAACTCCTTCAAAGGCAGGATTCTTGCAGGACTTGTCTGAATTTACATTTCCCATATTTCTGCCATGTCTCTCATGAGGAGGACCTACAAGAAGAAGTCTATCTACAGGCAAACTGACAGGTCTAACCCTGGTCCTTGGAGCATGCCTCTCCACATTGTTTGTTGCCCTATCGGATTTCAGAATAAGTGGCTTAGGAGTTTTATAAACATTTTCCATCTTTTGGGAAGTTGATTCAATGATTTGGTCTATAAGCAAAAACACTTCGTTGTCTGAAAAAGAAAGAGATTTATTTAACTTTGTGGCACATGGTTAACAAGATGGACACTCTCAAAACCAAAGAAGCCTTACATATTTTTCCAATGTGATATTCTCAGTTATCTATGCAGAGGAGTTAAATATTCATACAGTATAAAAGGTTCACTACGAATAAAGAAGTTAGAATTTTTTATTTATCTAAATCAATATAATAAACAGGTACAAAATACATTGCAGTTAGTAAAAAGACAAAAAACAAATCAAAAGACTTGCTGAAGTAACTTCTTTTTATGTTCCGTGCATGAACAACTATTTTCTGGGTCAAAGGACTATTGGTGATTTCCATAGGCAGATGTTGGTAAATTAGCCTCAGAAAAGTTACACCATTTTACCTGCTAACTAAATGTAGGTGTGCCTTGAATCCTAAGGATTTTACCAACTCACTTAATCTGCTTTTCCATTATACTCAACCCACAGTAACAGCACATTATATCAATTGCCTTCGATGCTCTCCATATATGATCAACTAATAGAGTATAACACCCATTCTGTCACATTAAGGTTCAATAGTTTTATTTTAAGTAAAAAGCACCATTCTCCCCATTTGCTCCCAGATTTACTTTCTTCTCTGGTCTAGACAATGGTCCATGTTTTCTCTCCTAGAACCCTCAAGCTTCTCCTGCCTTGTAACTTTTTGCTGTGTCTGCCCCAGAAATTCCAATTCCAGGAAAGTTCTAGCCCTCTGCTCACTGCTAGCAACATCAAATGACTGCGTGCCTTGACACCATCCTGACTCTGAACGCAATCCTTTTATCTGCTGCCCAGTCCCTCTCCCACACCCCGTGGGCAGTGGCTGCAGACAGGTGCCCATTGGGATCACTTTCGGTCGTCATCTCATTTAACACTCTTCCTCATCGGGAATGCTGACCTCTCTTCCCTGGATGCCAAGGCAGTGCTCTCTGGATTTGCTTTCCTAGGTCCTTACGTACACTTGGAGACCATTCTAAGGGACTTGACTTGTTGCAGCTGGACTGTAAGCACCAAAGCATATTTTTAAAGTTCTGAGGGAAACACGTATGGCATATGGAGAAGACTGCAGACTCTGAAGCCAGCTGCTGGGCCCTAGCTCAGCTCTGCCTACCACTTCTGCACAGGGCAAGGCAATCTCACTGTTCCTATGTGTCTTCATCGGCCAAAGCAGACTCATAAGTGTATGTATGTTGTTGCGTGGACGAAATGATCTAATCAGAAAAGTGCTTAGAATAAGCTAGTATATAATAAGCACTGGAAAAATAACATTTATTATTATTACTATTCTTAATTGCAAATCCAGTTTCATGGGGCAGTGAACAAAGGTTAAGTTTAGAAATCAGATAGAACTGACTTTGAATCCTGACTGAACAATTTATCAGGGGCATGACTCTGGCATTATTTAACCTCTCTCAGACTTTAAGCTACGGGTTGCATGTGGCTAATGCTATCTACTTTTTACCACGGAACTGCTATGAAGATCAAATCATATAAATGGACTCAAACAATAAGCACAGTGCTTAGCACAGAGCAGACAGATACTTGTGAATGTTAGCTCCCTTCCTTTTTAGATCCTATTAGGATATGCTCATTGATATTTGATTATATATCAAATTTAACTTATATGGCTATATTTTGAAAAACCAGAAGTTAGCTCTAATAATGTAGAATTAACAAATGAAAGCTTTTCCACCAGCTTGATAAGTACCAATCACTGCAACTAAAGTTATCATACAGAGAAAAACAGTAAATGAAATCACTAGTCAAGGAAATAAAAAAGACACATACATATGTGTGCTTAACGTGTTAAAGGCAGGTCACAGGTAAAAGCATGTGAAAAAAATTTTAGGAGCCTAAATTTTTTGAATTTCAGAAATTTAGTTTGATCTCTTCAGCAGTTAGATAAATACACCAAACTATGGTAACAGAAGAAGCTAAGAAATTGTCACATTTCTGCCTTAACTTTAATTGGTGGCAAAAAGCAAAACTGTAAACAAAAAAATTTTCAGGAGCACAAAAACACCTAGGAATTCCAAGATGTCTTTTATAAGAAAGATTATTATGAAGAATTACATTCATTTAAATGCATGGTATACTAAAAGGCAACTTTCTCAATGGCTACCAAAGATTTGTTAACTAATAAAGCTTCATTCTCTGACTTCCCTCACATTGGCTTTTAATCATGGTCTACCAGCAACATTTTAAGTTACCAAACATATTTTTTTACATGGCCACTCACCAGTGAGACATGCATCACATTTTTGTAATGCATTCTGCTTGCGTTCTGATTCCTCAAATGATGTAGCTGGTTCAAAACTTTTGCTTTCACTGTCTGCAGTATGGATATCCTGCTGATAGAAGAGAATTTTTAAACTTGAAGAAACAGCACACACCTCACAATAAACAGTTCAAAGATTTTTAACTTATTAACAAATTTCTTATATAATTCCATAAAGGCCAAAACTCACTTCCTTTGATGAAAAAAACAGTGACTTCATAGAATGTTCTGGGTCTCTTTCTTCTGGTGATAATAGAGGCTTCGGAAGACAGCCTTGATCAACCTGAGGCGCAACAGCACCTGGACTACACACATCTTGTGGCTGTAGAGACCCATCGAAGATCTTCTGTGAGTAAGTGATGAGGAACTCTACCAGCCGAGCCTGATGTGAATACTCAGCAAGAGAGGACATGGTGACAGGAGCAGTTGTGGGCCTTGGCCTAATGAGACTTGGTCCAAATATCACTCCCAAGTTTTTGGAGTTCATCTTGTTTTCTTCTGCATGATCTACTACCCTGCAAGGTAGAACCAAAAAGCTGTATGAGATTTGCCTATCAGAGTTCTTCGATGGTAGTTTGCTATGGGATGGGAAGGGTAGAGGAAAAATGGGCTGCAGAAGTCTGGGGAAAATGTGTCAATTACACCCCAATAAAGCCGGGGGGAGAAAGTCTAAGAAAAGGATATCTTTATTTGATTAAAATATTGACCAGATACCAAAGTGTGTTTCACACTACTGTATTAGGATAAAATTCAAGATAGTAGAAGGAACTACTGCAGTTTTACCAAGAAGAAAAAAATACTCCAAAAAACTGCTCCTAACTCAGTACATGGTATATCTTCCCAGGTCCTTACACTGGAGAATAAAACATTACTGTCAATTTCTCTCTCAGTGCCCACAGCTGGTCCTCAAGCCTAGGTGATTCTCCCTCCTAAAGATTTCTCTATTCTATTACCACTCCCATCGCTCTGGCCTTACTGCAAGCTCTTATTGCCTTTTATTTCTAAGACTATTCAAGGAGATCTGAATTGCAGTAAAGACCTCCCTCCAACCCATTCTCCATACTGCTGCCAGAAAGATATAACAGGCAAATCTGAGCATGTTAAATTCCTGACTCAAAATTCTTTAGTGGGACGGAAGGAAGATGGTCAACTCATCTGCCAGGTATGCAAGACTTTATCAGGCCCCTCCCTAGTGCACTTCCTGCTACTGCTTGCTATGCTATATAGCCTAAACCAAACTACTCATATTCCCCAAATGCAAAATGCTCTTGTGTCTTTGTGTCCGTTACCCACACTGCCTGGAATGCTCTTCTGCACATTCTTTGTCTACAAACCCACTACTCAGTTCTTTAAGTCTGACTCAAGGGCTACCTCCTCCCCACATCTTCTTCTGCATGCTGTGCATAGCTCTGTTAAAAAAGAATGATACTATACTGTGCTTGTCTGCCAGGTCTGTCCCCAAGCTGAGAAACCCAACAGATGGCCGAAACCCTATGTTTTCATCCTTGTTTCCCCAGCCAGAGCCTGGCCTATAGGAGGCATCTGAGGGAACGATGCTGGCTACATGTACATATATTCAATGTCTCCATTTCCCTAATACATATTAGAAATGAAATGCTCGTTTAAATTTCTTTCCCTCCTGCAACCCCACTAGAATACACAAAGCCCACAAGGATTAGAAGAACAGGAGAGGAAACAAAAGCAACATTTCACAAGCTGAAGAGCAGATGAGTAAGTGCTGACTTGGCAATTCTGAGAAAGATGAATTCTCAAACTGTGAACCAACATAATTCACAGATTTCTAAGGAGACTTGGGAACTGTCAGGATTAGCTCCTCTGATCCTGGGGGAGAATGGGCTATCTGAGAAGGCTTAGATCTCTAGATCTCTGCCTCTACTCCATGCTCCTGAGCAACTTCTTCTCCAGAAGTCTGCAAATATCTTCTCTGAGTGGTGTAAAACAGAGGGTCTGGATGGGCAATGCCAAGCACAAGGAATAGGTGGGCACTGTCTGAAAATGGTGATCTAGTGACTGTATGCATGCTGAATGCAGAAATCTTGCAGCCTTCTGACCCCACTTGGCCTCCAGGGTGCTAGCACCACATTTCTAGGCAAGAAAAGACCCTTCTATGGGGTATCCAATCAGCCCAAGAGCAGGGACCTAGGTATATAGACATCAGGTGGTTTCCCCAACAGCCCACCTAGATCACCCTACAATAAAACTTAAATATTTCAAAGCCATCACGTGTTCAAGAACTTCCAAAGAGATTTCAATCCCCAACTATTTCATTTTAAGCAGACAACCATGGAAGATAAAAATCAAAATGGGTACAAAAAAAACAACTTGAAGGTCTAGAACTATGCTGGCCAGTAGCCACATGTGCCTACCGAACACTGGAAATGTGGCTGGTCCAAATGGAGATGTGCTCTAAATGAAAAATGTACACCAGATTTTAAAGACTCAGTAGCCAAAAAAAGGTAAAATATTTCATTAATAATTTAAAAATACTGATTAGACGTTCAAATGATATTTTCAGTATGGTAAATAAATATTAAAGTTAATTTCACCTGTTTAACTTTTTGAAGCCCCCTTACATTTTCTACTAGACAGAGCTAGAGGATATGCAGAGAAAGAAAACCTTGAGAAAAAAGCCTTTAAAAAAAAAGCCTATGAATATCCTCAGGTAGATAAGATACTGCATTCATTAAAAAGAATGCTATAAAAGGCACAGAAAACCAGAGTTCCTGGAAATTAAAACATGATCCCAGGAATGATAAAGTTTGCAACAAGGGAGGAAGATAAAGCTGAGGAAATCTCTTAGAACATGTTGAAAGAAACCAAAAAAAAACAAAAAAAATGAATAATAGAGGAAAGGTAAGGGAACTAGAGAACCCAGTACAGGTTGTCAAGTATCCAGAGTTCCAGACAGTAAGTACACACAAGGGAGGAAGATAAAGCTGAGGAAATCTCTTAGAACATGTTGAAAGAAACCAAAAAAAACCAAAAAAAATGAATAATAGAGGAAAGGTAAGGGAACTAGAGAACCCAGTACAGGTTGTCAAGTATCCAGAGTTCCAGACAGTAAGTACAGAGAAAACGGAGGGGAGGGAATGAGCAACAAAATAAAGAAAAGTTCCAAGAACTACAGGACTAACCAGACTGATAGAGCTCACGGGGGCCCACAATGCAGATGAAGATGCACCCACATCAAGGCCCATCGCTGTGAAACTTTAGGATAACAGGGAGAAAACAAAGATTCTACAGGCTTTCAGAAAGACAAAACAAGAGGCCACACACACAGAGTCAGGAATGAAATGAGAAGGATGACATGCTTCAAAAAGAACAAAAAATAATGCCTTCAAAATTCCGAAGAAAAATAATTTCCCGCCTAGAATACTATATAACCTTCCGCACTTTCTACACTATTCCATTTCCATTAAAGACAGAAGAACAAAGACATTTATGGATAAACAAGGTTTCGAATACTTACTCCTATTTCACCTTGCTCAAGAATAGGCATGACCAAAACAGGAAAATCAACCAAAAACAAGGAAGACGTAACAGGTGTTCACTCACAAAAAGGGGAGAGTAGAAAAGAAAGATCCCAGGATGACAGCTAGTCACCATATTAAAAAGGATCCAGATTGGAGCATCAGAACTTCAGAGACCGACATGCTGAGGACGACCGTCACTATTCTCTCTGCCACTGTCTCTTCATTTTCACTCAAGGACAGAATGCCAGCTGGGCCTGGCCCAGATCTTTTTAGCACTTGGCTCCTGACAATGTGCTGACTAAGTTCCTGCAATCCCTCCATGAGCTGCTGCCTGAAGCCACTAAGATCATTTATTTCTCTCCACAGATGTGTTTTCTTTGCACCTACTCCTGCAAACTGCAGGTACAACAGTGAGCACAGAAAAAGAAAACAGAGTAGCCCACTCTCTGCCCATATTCTGCTAGATTTCCATTTCCCAGCTTGTAGGAGAGCCCTGCCTGATGCCCCTAATATGGTAAATTTCATGTTCCCAGGATGCATTCGAGACTCCCACAACAGCTATTTTAAAACATCTGTAAAATCAGAGCCAGAGTATGATTCAAACACTGTTCTACTTACTGACTCTTCATATAACAAGGTGAATAGAATACTGGCCTTTCCTTACACAGACAGCTAGATTTATGCTTTCAAGTTAGTTTTCTAAAACTTAATAATATACTGTTTAAGAATAAACAACCGATACTAAAACTATTAAGAAAAGAGAGGGAGTTGGGGCTGGTCCTATGGTAAGCTCAGTTGGACAGAGCACGGTGTTATAACAACATGGTCAAGAGTTTGGAGCCCCATAATGGCCAGCTGCCAAAAATAAAAATAAAAAAATAAAAAAACAAAAGAGAGGGAGTTATTAATATGGTTAAGAAAGACCTCTTAGGTAAAATTGGGAGGCTGCAACTTGGGAGAGGCACATAGGGGTCTTTTTAAGGTACTATATGGTAACATTCTATTTTTTTAAGCTAAGTAATGGGAAATGAGTTTGTTTTTATTGTTCTTTAAACTGCATGTATATTTTATATGCTCTTTGAGCTATATATTAATAATCAGAAAGATATTAATATGATTTATGCCAATAAAAAATTTATAGGAAATGTTATCAGTAAAATACAAATCACATTTTTGCTCTTTTTTATTTAATGGTAGGTTTCGAGGGTAAAAACTTTACCTGTCGAAGGTATAATTTCAAGACATCACAGATGTCATGTGGACTAAATTCTGAAATGTCTACCAAGTGCATTCCATTTTCCAAAGCTTGACACAGTTTTTCGGTTTTTATTTTGTTTCCACACACCCGGTAAATTCCCTTGAGTAGAAAAGGAAAAAAATTTGCAAAATTCTGCTTTAGTTAAATGATTAAATGTACACATCTAAATATATTTGATGTGTCTACCTCGATTTTTATTGGTACTTTAGAAAAAAACTAGTCAAGACCACATGAGGTAACATTTTCCAAATAAATCTGCATAAATTCAATTATTAAAAGTGGAGAGTACTGTTTTTCCTTAAAGTCTCCTTGTCATTAAAACAAATTACAAAGGCACTTATGTTTTTAAAATTTTAAGAGTTACAATGTACCTGTAGACATAAGGCTCTATTTTCAATCTCTGAGATACATATTTTGAGTATAAAGGGGATGCCATCTGGTTCCTTTTTTGCGATTTGTGTAAATTCTGCTCCAAATAAGTGTATTTTTCCCAGAAGTTTCTGATGACCACAAATGATGACTAAACTTTCCAAACACTTTCGGTGACAAACAAGAAGACACTACAAGAAAATGATAGTTTAAAACGATAGTTTAAAACTGTGCACAGCTGAGAAAACTATAGTTATAGTAGTAACATAGCAAATAAGATTAAAAGGTATTATTTGTGGTGTTTGAAATACATTTCACAGTAAAACAAAATATAAAAATTGTATAAGGTATGATGTAGTACAATTTATTAAAAATAGATTTGCAAAAGATCCAAGTAAACAAAATTAATAACAAAAAGCATAAAGCAAAAAGGATAAAGGGGCTGATGCAATTCCAGAAAGATCTTACCTCTTCACATTCAACACCTTGGAATACTACAATGCCTTCACAATCCCTACATTTCGTGGGGGATCTCCATTTGCGAAACTTGTGAGTGAGAGCTGCCTTTGACATCAACGTTTTCTTAAATGTTCCAAGGGAACTGGGTCCTTGCCACAGAAATAGGTTGGTATGTAAGAGTTGTAAGATGACAGAAAAACTATACCATATAATACTATATTTTAAATAATCTCTAGACTTTGCAATCATTCATATATTACAAAAAACTATTATTTTAATAAGTCTGTAACATCAAAATAAGCATCAAATTTATAGATCTCTTACAAGGTACACAAATTTTTCACATTTTAGCTATGAGTAAAAATTACCACCAAACCAATAAGATAATTCTAAAATAGCATGGCATGTTTCCAGAATTAGCAAATTTACACTGTTACTAATACATTCTTTATAGACCTGGGAGGGATGTTCATAGACGGCCTTACATTCTTAAAAAAGGTATGAGGTTAGCATACAGCTATTATTTGCATTAAAGATAAAGCTATCTTGGGCTGGCCCGGTGGCGCACTCGGTAGAGTGCGGCGCTTGGGAGCGTGGCGGCGCTCCCGCCGAGGGTTCGGATCCCATATAGAGACCGGTCCGCTCACTGGTTGAGCGTGGTGTGGGCGCGACACCGAGGGTTGCGATCCCATTACCGGTCACGAAAAAAGACAAAAAGGAAAAAAAAAAAAGATAAAGCTATTCTTAATTCATTATAAAATTATGGATAGGACTAGTTAGTTATATATCAATATGATACTGGAGATCAGATATTCCATTAATTTAGGAAATGATGCCAAAAACAGGTATCTGGAGGTATCAAATGTACAAAACTAATTTATATGAGTCTAATTCAAGTCAGGGTTGCGATCCCGTTACCGGTCACGAAAAAAGACAAAAAGGAAAAAAAAAAAAAGATAAAGCTATTCTTAATTCATTATAAAATTATGGATAGGACTAGTTAGTTATATATCAATACGATACTGGAGATCAGATATTCCATTAATTTAGGAAATGATGCCATGATCTGGTTTCCAAATTTTGTCTTTATCACATGAAATCATACAGGATCCCAAATAATTTAGGGCTTGCTCTAGGGTCATAATTTCTAGGGTTGGCTAGAACCTCTTCGTTTTCACAAAGCTCATTACAAATACTCAGTTAAGTATTTAGGCTCACATCTCTAGTGTGTCTCTTGAACAGCACCAGTTTTTTTTTTTTTTTTTTTTTTTTTTTTTTTTTTTTTTTTTTTTTTTTTTTTTT